AGAAGATAAGGTAGTAAGGATACTGGGAAGGGGGAAAAAAGGCAAAAGGTTAAAATAGAATTTTCTTTAGAGGCATCAATTACCAATTATTGACACTAAACACATATAGAAACAAAGCCCATATTTTGATTCTGGTTCACACAGAGGTATAGTGTTTGGATCAAATTAACTATTGACTAAAATTAACTCGGCATGTTGACAAACTGAAAGCCACCTTGTAATCTGCATTGTGACTACTTGTCTGACTAGTTGTCTCTTTCTTCTTGTCATCTCACTGCTACCACTATAAATGCAGCGTCCTGCCTCTTTCCTGAGCAGAGAACATATAAAATTAAGATTTTCTTTAGTGTGAAATAAGCGGTAAATAGGATTTACATTTAATAATATCCTCTCAGCTTTAACAATGATTGGTTTTGATTCATCCTTGAGAAACTGAAATAAAACACCTTCCTGCTCACACCACACCTGTGTCTAATCCTGGGCACCTGACTCTCAGAGAAAAATGAGATGTCTCTAAATATCTGAATGACTTCCAGGCAGAGGAGAATGTTTTAAAATATATCCAATATTAGAAATAAGAAAGTTGATTACTAGATATACTTTTGTCTAGATTTTCAAATTTGTTGGTACAAATTTGCCTGTAATATTTCTTATGATTCTTTTACTCTCTCCTATATTGATGGTTCTTTTCTCATTCATAATCTTATACTCCATTTTTGTTTCTTTCCCCTAAATAAGGCTAGAGGAAGGTTTGCCCATTTTAGAGTTTTAAAAAAAAGACACACAAAACTTTTGCTTTTATTTATCCTTTTACACAATATTTTTATTTATGTGTATTTTTAGTTTATCTGTATTAATTTCCTCTTCATAATTTTTTTTAGTTTATATTTTATTTTTCCTAGATGAGAACCCTGGGATCCTTTTCAGGAAGAAAAAAGGGGAGGAGGAAGAAAGGGAGAGAAGGGAAAACTATACATCCTCTTTTGAACTAGCTTTTGCTGTTGTACTATAATTTTTGGAATGAAGTGGTTTCCTTTGCATTTTTTCTACTTTATAATTTGAGTTTGAATTTCTTCTTCATCCTTTCTTTATTTTCAAATAATAAATATATTTGGATTTTGTTTTATTTTTATTCCCAATTTTATTGGATTTTTTTAAAAAGTCTCTACACCTATTTTTTTTTAAGTTTAGGTAAAATAATCTTATTTTAAAAATGGGCAGAGGAACTGAATAGACATTTTTCCAAAGAAGACATACAGATAGAAAAAAGACCCATGAAAAGATGCTCAACATCACTCATCATCAGAAATGCAAATTAAAATCACAATAAGATATCACCTCACACCAGTTAGAATGGCTGTTATTAAAAAGACAAGATAAGTATTGGAGAGGATGTGGAGAAAAGGGAACCCTCATTCACTGCTGATGGGAATGTAAAATGGTTCAGCCACTCTGGAAAACAGGATGAAGGTCCCACCCCAAAATTAAAAATGATATACCATATGGCTCAGTAATTCCACTTTTGGGGATTTACCTAATAAAACAAAAACCCTAATTTGTAAAGATAAATGCACCACTATGTTTACTGACAATAGCCAAGATATGGAAGCAACCTACGTGTCCACTGATAGGTGAATAGATAAAGAAGACGTCCTACACATATAAAATGAAATGTTACTCAGCTGTAAAAAAAAGAATGAAAACTTGCCATTTATGACAACATGGATGTATCTAGAGGGTATAATGCTAAGTGAAATGTCAGACAAAGAAAGACAAATACCATATGATGTGGAATCTAAAAAACAAAACACAAAAATAGATGCATAAATACAGAGAACAAACTGGTGGTTGCAGTGGTGGAGGCATAGGGTGAGAAGTAAAATAGGTGAATGGAATAAAAAGGTACAAACTTCCATTTATAAACTAAGTCACAGAGATGAAAAGTACAGCATAGGGAATGTAGTAATTAATATCATAATAACTTCATACAGTAACATGATAAATACATGTATCATGGTGAATTTTGTAAGGCATATAATTGTCAAATCACTATGTTGTATAGCTAAAACTAATGTAATATTTTGGTCAACTAATGTAATATGTTGTATAGCTAAAACTAATGTAATATTTGGTCAATAAAAAAAATTTTTTTAATTAGGTGTTTTTGTGTAGCCCAGAACATAAACCATTTTATATATATAAATCCCAAAATTTATTTTCTCAATTTCAAAGAAACAGGGTTCTATATTCATCAATCTTATGAATTTTATTATATAATTATTCTGTATGACACTTTAGTTTTGTATTACCTGTTTAAGTCTGAAAGAGATAAACTGAAGTTTTCCACTATAATTTAATTTAAATATATTCTCCTGGGATTTACAATACCCTTTGCTTTATATAATTAGTACTTTGTTGGTAGGCACATACTGAGTACAAAAAAAATTCTATGATATCTTTTTACCTGTATTGTGTTTTATTATTATATAAGGCATAAAATCCTTATCTCATTTATTGTTTCAAACTCTAATTTTTAGCTTATCTGATATTAATAATGCCACTCCAATTCTTTTTGCTTCATTAGTCTGGTATCTCCCTCCATACTCCTTTGTTTTTAACTTTTCTTTATTGCTTTAATTATATTTCTTATTAACAGTATTTAGTCAAGTGTTATTTTTTACTTCAGTCTGAGAGTCTCTGTCTGTTAATGGGAAAATTCAACCTGTTCAAATATAGTATAATGACAGATACTTAATTTCAATATTTTTATGATTTACTTTGTTCTTTTTCATTTTTCTTATCTTTTTTTGAGTCCCATTTCCTTTTTAATTCAGATGTCATTATATTTTCTATTCAATTAATAATTAACTCCTCTATCAATTAAATTATGCTTGAGCATAATAAATCCAACCAGTGTCTTACAGAAAATTAGTATAGTAGGTGAGTGTTGTGTGGGTGTGTGTTGTATGTCACACTTGAATCTCAAGTGCTTTTATTATTTTTCTTATCAAATTGTCCCTGTCTCCTCTAGCAGCTCTCTTTGTTTGGGTTTCAGAGCTGGTTACTGAAAGCTGGACTTGGCAAGGTGAGCAAACAGGAAACAACTTTATTTTTTCCCACTGTTAATCCTATAAAATTGCTGTTTGCCTATTCTTCCCCATCCCTGGATGGATATCTGGCAAGTCTCATAATTTTGCCCTTTTCCCTGTTACAATCCTGCCTGGCTGGCCACTGTCTACTCTTAGGCCCCTTTACATAGGTTCCCATTTTTCTTAGTTGACTCAGAGCAGCTCAGGTCTCCTTACTGCAGCATCTAGTGGCCACCGTGCTGAAGTAGTGGAAAAGTCTTCCCACTATGGACTGATGCTACAGAATCAAGTAAACCACAATCCCCTGGTAAGGCACTTGCAGGAAAATTCATGGATCTCTGATTTCCCAGTTCTCTGACAGGCTTAGGTTTCCTCCATGGCCTCCTGGGGGCTAATGAGACCAGGAACACTTATACAGGGCCAAAACCAAACCCTTCCCTGGGGTGAGCCAAAGATGCCAACTGGCCAGCTTGTCCCAGGACACAGCACAACCCCCATCACTGCCTTGTGGCTTGGAGACTGGACTCCAGGGACATTCTTAGATCTCAGCATCAGAATAGAAACCATGTCTAAACTGCACCCAACTGCTTGAAGATCTTAGGTGTTTGGCTTTGCAAATTAAAGATTAAAGTTGGGAGGAGAAAAGAAAGGTGCATTATCTTCCCAGAATCCACAGCTCCCAGTTGGCCAGCTGTTTTAATGGAATTTTAAAGCTGATTTAGTGCCTTCCTAAAGCCTAAAGCTCACAAGCTCCAGCAAAAACTACCAAAAATAACTAATACAAAAACTGTTAGTTCTAATTTGAGTCCACTTTGGGCTAAAATTTGAATACTATAGTTATGTCTAGCACTTAATTTAGAAAAGGCTAGAGTAAGACTTTTGGGAACATCTCTTAAGGAGTTATACTTCTTTTAAGAGCAGGGGAAAGGGTGCAAGTGGGGAGGGAATTTTTAATGAATGTTTGCCATACTCAAGATAGTCTACATTATTTTTTAATGCTGAAAATGATACTGTATAATAATAATTATTAAGGTATTATTGTCCTCATCTTAGGGCAGGGTGCAACTAAACTGAAGTCCAAATAGTTTACATTATTTGCTCAAGTTCACTCACATTTGTCCAGCCAGTCACCAGAAGATAAACAGGAAAGATAATATGCTCCTCCACTACCTCCTACCTGCCTGAGCCCACCACCTTATCATGAAGCCTTATTCTCTGGCTCTTCTCTTATTTGCAGTCTCCAGTCGCACCCCTCTTCCCCAGTCCCATCTCCTTGTCATTATATTTGAGCCAAAACCTGACTCTGCTCATGAAAAGATGTCCCAGAGTAGCATTGATGACACAAAATATAGAAAACCTCCAGTCTAAAGTGGAAACAGAGGAACCCGAACAAGTTTACCTCATCACCCTTGAAAGTTTCCAAAAGACCCCTAATGCCTTCTGCTCACTGAAATGCTTCTAACTAAACCTACTTCTCCTCAAAGTACTAACAGTTAAGATAAAAAAAAAAAATCCTTAAACAAATGGATTACAAATGAACTTTAGAAATGCAATTTGTTTCTGAGTTCTGTCTTTATATTATTCTCTGGATCACAGAGAAACAGTAAAATAGCAGTGTAATAATATACTTAAAATGTTCATTACTTTATAGGATTTGCTACCAAAACTATTTAGCTATTAAGGATAAATTATTCTTTTAAATTAACAATTCAGAAAAAAATCAAAGTTATACTTGGAAAAGGCATTATATAGTAATGAAGCTTCAACATCTAACAAAAAACTATTTGAAATTTTACAAAGGCTTTTAAATTACATGAATTACTACTGTAGTACTATTTTCCAATGATTATCCCAAATGCTGATATATGATTAAGTCCACAAGCATTAAGTTAATGTTACAATCGTCTTATTTTGATATTCAATTACAGAGCAATGTTAGTGATATTTGGCTTCCAGGAGCAAATTTCTAGTCAATCTATGCCCCATTCTTGATCCCAAATCAGACTTTACTGTAGGAATGTTGATGACAGAAGAGTCTAATTGAGACAATAAAAATTCAGAAACGATACCTCTCATTGATAATTATTTCCTAATTTTGTCTTTTTATTTACTAAAAATGTTAGTTTTTCTTGAACAGACCGCTATTGGTTTGTAACTCCAATTTCTATGCTTTTCTTTTCTTACAATATCCATTAGAACATTACTATTTAGATAAGAATGTCTTCTATGATCTTGGAACTTTGTTATTTGCTTCTTGTTACCCAATTATTGCTGTATAAACAGTATTTTATGAGGCATTTAATTTTTCACTTGGTAAGTTTAACAAATCATCCAGTGGTGTAACATTATTTAATTTATGGACTCCAAGTATATTTTTTAAAGGCTTTGAACAATGTTTGACAGATAAGGCACTGAATTTACTCATTGGTTTTCCTGTAGAAACCATTCTTTCAAATTTGCCATTTTTAGCACTCATTTCTTGAATAAGAGTTTTATCAAGGAAACCTACACATTTTTTTGTTAGGTTGGAAAAAGTCTGTGAGAAATCATAGAGTTTATTCCAAGATATGTTTTCAAATGTCTGCTTACTAGTTTTCATCCTTAGTTTATCCTCTACAACTCTATCACCCACTCCAAAAGGTATTGCATGTATCTCTCTCTTCCAAGCTGCAGACATAGTTCTTTTGGGTTTGAAAGGAGCAATAGGTTGATTATTCATTAATGATTTAAGGATTTCATGATTTCTTTCTAAAACAAAGTTTGCTCTTTTATGTGGGTGAATGTTTCCATTTTCTATAGGATGGCGAGGAATCCTATTTTTTGTCAAAGATAACATTTGTACGTATCCAGTGTCATGGAAAATTACGGGATTTGTATCATTTTGTTCCTGTGGATTAAAGAAAACAGTACTTAATCATCAGTCTATTGAGGCAAGAAGGCTACATATATTTTTAAGCATGGAAATAATATGGCAAAATATTCTAAAAATGACTACATAGAAGTTTTTAGTGTGAACAATAATGGTATTGAAACACTTCTCTTAATATTTAATCAATGTTAGGTATAAAATATGAACTTTTGGCCTCCTAAAATCTTCAAAATGAAGTAGGATATGAAGAAACAAATACATTTCTTAATGTTTGAGGTGTTGTCACTGGAAAATTGGGTATCTGGTGGAATAGAATATTGTTCTGGAATTTCTTAGCTTTCCATGTCCAGAAATAGGAAGCACACCAAAAAATTGATTGAGTCAAAGATCATAAGGGACATAAGTGATTACAAGCCAAAATTACACAGTCTGGCTATCCTAATAAATAATTCAGGAAACATAAAATTAACCTTAAAATTATTATATATATTATTGTACCCAACACTTAGTATAATACTTAGCACATAAGAAGTGCTCAATATAAATTTGTTGAATAAAATAACTAAAGTAATACATATTCATTTAAGGTTTCCAAAAGATCCCTAAAGCCTTCTGCTCACTGAAATGTTTCTAACTAAACCCACTTTTCCCTAAAGTACTAAAAGGTCAGAAAAAAAAATCCTTAAGCAAATGAACCACAAGTGAACTTTGGAGATGCAGTTTGTTTCTAAGTAGGCATTGTGGAAACTATTCTAGCGGTGGCGGATATGTCTGCTTTTGAAGGGTAGCAGAGGCAAAGGTCTTGGAAACAGCGCCGCTGCCGGGAATCAGAGTCGTGAACCGACAGTCTGGCGCTGTGCCTGGGGCGCTCTTGGCGAGACGGCTTTCAAGCCAGATTGTCCACCCAGCTTGTCTAGAGACTCTGTGGCCTACCATATACCCTTTAATAAATGTATTTTCTGGTTCAAATAGCTAAAATAGATTGTTAGAAAAACATGACATGATCCAGTCATTTTTTAAAATGCCACTTTTGTATTAATTTAATAATCAAGAAAATTTGATAAAACCTTCTTCTTAAAGAAAAACACAAAATTTTCAGCTGATGCCAAGGAATCCTCAGGTTTGGAATGGTGGTTCTAAGAAAGAGCATTAGGAATTTAAGTGATATTGTCACTTTAGAATGTGAAACTGAAAGGTAAGAAGGGTTTATCAAAGATCCCAGTGATTGTAATGTAAGATTCCCACAAGTAGTGATAATATACATCTTTACTGAATAGAACTAGATGCTCTTATTACCATTTGGGAAGTTACTGTCTTTGCTGGACTAATGTTGATGATTTTGGCATTTGGCTTTTTCAGTTCATCCTCAAAGCACAAGGAGAGTAAGCTTTTCTTTCTTACTGAACAATATCCACTTAGTTGATAATTTCTGATTGACTTATTTTCTTTTGTACTAAAACCATTCATCTGTGGAAGAGGTTTTCTTCTGAAAATGAAAACAAGTTCAGCATAAATGCTTAGAGGGCTCATTTCAACATGTTGCTTCTTGCCTGCTTCCTCCATCCCTCCAAGTCACGGCTAGTATCTCCCCCAAACCTCTGCCACAGACTTTCAACCTGACAATACCATCCCTTTCTGCCTGCTTTGTGGGGGGAAATAGCAAAAGCAGGGGTAGAAACAATGCAGTAATATGTGTGCCTCTTTGGGTTTTGAGTGGGAAAAAAGTGTATTACATAGGTTGAGGAGACCACCAAAGGTAAGAAGTATTTGCCACATCCTTTGTTGAAATTCCAGGAGCAAAGCGCTTTGCAGGGCAGCTTCCTGCCAACATAGAGAAGCTCCAACTTTGTTAACAGGATGGAATAGTGTGGTTAGGCAGAGAGAAGATACAGTATTTTTTCCAGATCTTCCTTGGTTCACATGTGACATGGCCCCTGAATTTAAGCATGCTAAAAGGGCTGTCGTTTCAGGGGTGAGGACACCTGTGGCAAAGGTTTGGCATGGACGAGTTATGGACAGTCTAAGGGCAGGTGAAGGTCATAGCAGAGACTCAGAGAGTTCTACTATAGTAATGAGAGCTGAGAATGGACCCTATCCAAGTAAGAGAATAAATTACAAGTTCATGAACCACAGATGTTAGCAGCCATGTAACATAAAGGGATGAACCAACATCCTTACTCAAGTAAAAGTACAGTGAACCCCTCACTCACATACTCAGGTGCCATTTTAGAAAGAAACGGAAAGACTGAGTTAAAGAGGCGGCACATTATTGCTTCAAATGAAGTTTAAAACACTCTGGATTAATATGATCTCCTTTTCATTATCAGAGTTTGAGGATCTCATGAGAAAGATTAGAACTTACTACAAAATTGAAAAGCTACTTATTTCACATCCATGTTATAGCATAATTAAATTTGCCTCAACTACAAAAACTCGATGTATTCTCTCCATTTACTTTTCCATGCCCTCCTCTCTATTTGACTGTGAACGTGCAACAGATAGAGCATGTGCTCAACATCTGAATGAGATGCTGACTAGCTGAGCAGTCTTAGACCTGCCATTGGATTGTAGGATGTGCCTAAATGGTAATAAGCCAGAATAAAGTCATTCTTGTCTACTAGAAAATAAAAGGCAGAATTTTTCCTATTATAAACATCATTGAACATAATATTAAAAATTTTTAAATAGATTACCTTTTATTTACATCGTCTTCTAAGTGACCAACCAAATCACATGATTCTCTAGGACTTATTTCAGTTTGAGCTGAAATTATAAAAGATTTTCATAGAAGATATATATATATACATATATATATATATACTCTGGCATTTAGAAAAAATCTTGTGTAAAATATTTTACAATGTAAAAATAACACATGGAAAACACCTGGTATAGTATTGATCTGGTGGTTACTCGGTGAAAACTTTTTAAGTGAGAAAAAATTCTCAATCCTAATATAAGCTGGTCATGGGGATAGTAGTACAGCATGGAGAATACAGTCAATGATTCTATAACATCTTCCTGTGTTGACAGTAACTGTACTAGTGGGGGGTGAGGATTTAATAATATGGGTAACTGTTGAACCGCTGTGTTGTATACTTGAAATTAATATAAGATTATTTATCAATGATACTTCAATATAAAGATCTTAAAACTATTAGAAAGTAAAGGAATGACATTACATGTCATTCTACAAAAGGACAAAGAAAAACAATTGACCAAGAGAATACTAAGCTATTATTCCAGAAGATAATGAAGTTGTATATTTAAACAACTGAGAGAAAATAATTTTCAACCTAAAAATCTACATGAACTAAACTGCCATTTAAGAATGACAGCAAAATACACTTCCAGACATACAAAGATCAAAGACTTATCAAGCAATAGATCATCACTGAAAGAATTAGTAAAGGATGTCATTCAGGAAAAATAAAAGTGACACTGATGGCAGGATGCAGGAGACAATGATGGGTACAGAATTTGATAAGTTATGTTATATAATTATCATCGACTAAAAAACTAATTTTGTAGTTTCAAATGAAATAGTTCAATATGTGCTGCATTTATACAAAGTTTTCTCAGACTATTTTAGATTATTAAATATTAACTAATTTTCTTAGATCATTTTAATGTAATTTTAATTTATTATATTTTTGGTGTTTTATAGTTTTATATTATTAGTTTTTTGTTTTCTTTTTAACTTAATTTGTTGAGGTATAATTTACATACAAAAATGCACTTTTAAATATACAGTTTGATGAATTTTGATAAATATATGTACTCATGTAAGCATCAACCAAATCAAAATATCAAGTATTTCCATTATTCCAAGACAGTTTTCCCATACCCCTTCATTTCTCATACCCTTTCAGACATTTCATTCAATTCATTCTTTTCTCTCCTGCAAACACTCTGGTTATCTCAGTGTTGGATATTCATTTTCTTTCCTCAATATACTATCTTGTCTAATCTACACTGCATGTTTGTGATACCTCTTTATGACACTAATGTGGTGGTGGTGGTGGCTACTGTGTTCATGTATGTGTGAGGTGCCACTTGGGTTCCAGTTTTTACCTCTTTCTTGGGGTAAGCAATTCCATTTGGAGAGGAATTTAGTCAAAGGAATGGCTCTTGGGCTGTTTGGTAGGGTCATATATTTTTTCTTTACCCAGTTATGTTTGTGGCTATTATTCACACTTGCAAAGACAGTTCCTAGGAAATTGTAGCTTGTCTTTTCTGTTGTCGACCTGCCTTTCAAGACCTTGCTTTTCCAGGAGGTTTTCCCCTAAAGAGTACATTAGAAGCAATACTAGGACACCAGGGAAAGAAATGGCTGCATATGGTAATTGCATTTCTCTCAAAACACTCTTAATACCCACTTGGAATGCTGTTGACTTGCAGTGAGGAAAGGGATCCCAAAGGAGAGGATGTTCCATCTTTCTGTAGCCCGTCATTGATAACAAACCCCTTTTATCTTTGAGTGTGTGTGGGTGGAGGGGAGAGAGCTGTGGTTAACAGGAGTATTTTCAGAATATCTTCTATTGGTTGTTTCAATATTCTTCCTTTTTTCCTAGAAGGTGGATTTGTACATAGATGTCTTGAATTTCTTTCAAACTACTTCATATTGTAATATGCAGCAGATTTTCTTTGAGTTTAGGACATTTTATCCCAATTTCAATTTTCATGAATTTTTCTTCCTTGTTTTTTTCTTTTTGTTACTCATTTTGGCCAAGATAAACTTGTATTTATGTTGTCAATTTTCCCACAAGTCCTAATTTGGTATTTGGATGAAAGAACTATAATGCTTCTTCTGCATAGAGACTCAATAAATTTTATAAAGGGAAATTTGTTTTGCTGAAGGGATAGAACAGCCTACCACTGCTATCGGAGCACCTCACAGACTATGTCATATCTGAGTAGAATCTTAAAGAATAATGTGGTCAACAGAGGGTTGCCTTTAACTTAACAGTTCTTTCCACCCCATTCTTGCTAACAGAACTCTGATCTTATCAATCCTTCTCCAAACAATCATGTTCTTTTAGGGAGGCTGGGCTTCTTCTTAACTCCAGGGAATAAGTCTTGAATCACCTAAGCCTGTACTTTTCAAAATGTGAGCTACAACCCATCAATTTAGGCATGACATCAACTTAGCATTTCCTGACCAATATTTTAAAAAATGAAACAGAATAAAGTGTATCACATAGATTCTCAGTGGCAACTATACAAAACACTAAAATACTGAATTCAAGTTTAACTAAAAGAGAAAAAGACAATTAGGGATCTGAATCTTCTGATACTGTGTGTATGTGTGTGTGTATAATTTATATTTATGTAATGTAAATATTTATATCCATTTTATAATATTTATTTTTATTTTATAATAATATACATATTAGAATGTGATATAAATAATATTTCCTACTATTATCATGTTAAAAGTTGGAAAACTGATCTAAGCTAATAATGATTTATTGGTTTAGATATGGGTGCATTAACTTATTCTAGCTAAGAGACGCCAGGGAAGGTGTGCTGAAGGGCTTTGAGGAGTGTTTTCCTCATTTTTACAAAGGAACCAAAGAGCTTTTCTCTTTTTTAGTGGATCTGGTTACCAATACAAGTTATTTTGAATAGTACTCACCATATTGTGCAGCAAGGCTAGGAGGCCAAGACATTAAGGAAGGATGGAGGAACTGGATATTTGGTGGCATCTTTAAGCACCTGAACTTACTGGAACTGCCTTACTAATGAACTTTTTGTTTTTGAGATTATAAGGATCTTTGTTGTTTAAGCCACATGTGGTCAGATTTCCTTTTAATTGTAGCTGTAAGTATTAAAGGTAGATAGGAATCTATCAGGTGGAGAAATGTATCCTGAGCATAGAGAACAGAATAGCAAATCTCACAGTAGTTTGAACTGTTCACTGGTTAGAAACAGAATGGATAAAGAAACAGAATAGAAAGCTGAAAAGATCTTATGTACCATACTAAGGAATCTAGACTTTACCATTTTTGTAATGAAATCTTCAGTTGTTCTAAGTAGTGAAATAATGTAATATGATCAGATACTGACATTTCTTGGTTAAAAATTTTCTTAACTCTTATATCTTAACGTTAAATGTAGTTAATTTTCAGTTATTTCAATATAATCATACAATGTGTATACCTCTAAACAAAGCAGAGTCTTTTTCCTTCTTATAGGCATTAGATTGAATGCTGGGTTCAGGAGAAAAGATTGCAGAGTCCAGTATTCTTCTACATGCTTGTCTATTTTGTGAATATAGATCATACAAAGGCTTGGTATTTTCCACCTGAACATCAGAAAAAATGAAAAACTATCATGGAAACTATTTATTTCCCTGTATATTGATGAATAGTGTGTACTTTATTATTCACATTTGGAATATCTAATTATGATAACAGCTATCTAGTCCTTGAAATTCTTTTAAACATAATTTGAAAAAAAAATGCCCTGTGAGATGGATGTTATTACCACTATATAGACGAAGAAACAAATCTATATAAATTTAAGAAATCTACCTAAGCTCCCACTTTTGTGTCTAAGTATCTCTAAATTTGCCTCTAAAACAGCTATTATGTTCATATAAAATTTATTTATCCAAGTACAATGTGTAAAGTTCAAATACTGAGAAAAAAAATCCCTTCCAGTTTAAACACAAACTTTAGTCTCTCACATATAGAGTATGTACAGCAGAAAGTTCTGAATACAGGGGAAGAAACCAGAACAAAAGATCTAGATTTTCCTAGATTAGGGTCTCCAATTAGTTTCATATATTTTTGTCTAGATACAAATATCTGGATATTGAAATATGTATCAAAATATACATACATACATAAACATAAATTGCATAACTTGTGTTTCACCATCAACAAGCCAAACAAATATTTGTTTAATTTCATTCTGAATAATGTAAAATAAAAATATAGCATGTAACAGAAATCTAGGCCATAAAGAGCTCACACATCTTATTGGATAGATATGATTAACATACATAAAACATTAGTAAATAATATAATAGAGTAATATCACTAAGAACCAAACCAATCAATACAATCTATAAATAAGGAGGAGTTTAGTAGAGAGGGATATCAGTGAGGCTGGAATCGGAAAGATTTCATCAGTGAGGAAGAATTTAATGCTAGGATTTGGAATGAGAGCATTTCAGGAGAGGCCAACAACATATGCCTTGAGTATTCATATGACAGTCAAGAAAACAGCATATTTAGAGCAGTGGGGGGGTCATTTATCATTTATTGTGTATATAAGTTTTAATAGGTAAGTAGGAGAGCTGTGAGAGGGAAAGACTATGGATGTCTTGAAAGTCAGAGAAACATTAACATAACAAAAAAATGACTTGAGAAGTAGAAAATTTGAGCATACTAATAATTCTTAAAATAAATATAAAGGAGTTTTCAAATAAGTACCTTTAAAAGAGTAACCAAATGGATTTTTGAATAAGTTCTTTCAAACTTTTATGCAACAAAAATTCTCATGCAATATAGTATCAATTAAATTAAAAAGGAAACAATGAAAAGGCTTTTCAGTTCTTTTTATAGGCTGGCATAGTCTTAACACTAAAATTTGTAAAGTTAATGCACTAGAAGAAGCCTATAAGCTAATCTCACATGACTTCAGGATTTTTCACAAATTTGAAATAAAATATTATTCAACCCTATACTAGTAGAGCTGTTCATGATGGCTAAAATAAAATAATAAAAAATTAAAGGTTTCTAATAGATTGGTTATTATCATTTATCACCTTATAGGTCAAAGGAAAAAAAATAATTTTAATAGCTGCAGTATTTAAAATATAATTGATAAAATCAACAACTGTCCATAAGAGCTGTAATCAAACTATGGAGAGAGAATATTTTCTTAATATGATAAAGAATATCAGCATAATTTAAAAAATTATACTTATATGAAAACAACAGCCAACATCAAGTTAAAGATTATACAGTAGTCTATTGTGTGAGAAGAGTGACACCTATCACTAGTACTATTTATGAATGTTTAGGAAGTATTCAGCAATGCAAAAGGAAAAGGTAATGGAAGCAGTAATAGCCCTGGGAATTCTGATTTAGTAGGGCTGAGGAAGCCCCTGTTAAATCCATCCTTTCTCAGATAACTATAAACTCTAGCCAAAAATACACACACACATACGCACACAAACACACATTACCCAAAGGCCCTAAGAGTAAACAAAAGCAGGTGATCAAGGAAAAAACATTGAAATTTGGAATAACTGACTCGCCTGGGGGTAAAGTTGCTATTTTTATGGCATTTAGCTTAAAGACTGGCTGAAGTTGGCACTACATGGCACCTAAAACTATGATAGAAAACTGATGTTTTTTTCTGGTCATAAGAACCCAAGAACACAGTTCAGGGAAACCAAAGCCTCTGGAAAGTGAGGAGGAAATGGTAGAGGAGAGCCAAAGATGTTATCCTGTCTTATATGTGTAAACCTTGTCCAAGCCTCTTGCTGGTCCTAGAACTATGCATGTTTAGAGAAAACTGTAAGCAGCCCAGTTAAGAATAAAACAACTGACCTGAAATTTGAGCTCCTGCTCTAGAGACAGAATTTCTATTTTGAGCCCAACCAAGTTAAATGACTGCTAAAACAAACCCACCAATACTCTGCAGGAGTATAACAAACTCTAGACTCTCCACCTTATAACAGTCATATGGTCCAGGATAAATCCAAGCAGACATACAAAGAACCAGGGAAATTAAACTTAGTCTAAAGATAAACAATTGAGACTAACCTTGAAATGACCAGATTTTGGAATTAACAGACTTTAAAGCAGCTATCATAACTATACTCAATGCAAAAAATAAAATATATTTACAATGAATTAAAAAAACAAAGGAAATCTTATTGGAGAAATAGATACTATTTTAAAAAATGGAAATTCTAAAACTACCCAGAACAAAATACACACTGGTTGAGCTTAAAACAGAATGAAGAAATCAGTGAAAAGAGTCAGGGAAATTTAAGATAGATCAGTAGAAGTTATCCAATATGAAAAAAAAAGAGGAAAAATATTTAAAAAAGAAGGAATTTAGGAAATTGGGAGACTAATAATGAAGGGTATAATACATGTATTATCAGAGTCCAATAAGGAAAGGAGAGGTAGAGTGGGTAGAATAATATTTCAAGAAAGTTTTCACCAAATATTTGAAGAAATAGTGTTCAGATATTTACTTACTTTGATAAAAGACAAATTTATAAATTCCAGAGCTTATCAAATACTAAGCTGGATAAATATGAAGAAAACCATGTTTAGGCACAAAGTCAAACTGCTGAAAACCAAAGATGAGAACTTATTGAAAGCAGCCAGAGAAAAGTCACATACATGGGGAAAATTCAGAATATCTCTGACATCTTATCAGAAATGATGAAGGTTAGAACTATGAAGGTCAGTAGACATTGTAAGATCATTAATATACTGAAGGAAAAAAAAAACTGCCAAAATTTTGTATCATGCAATAATTTCCTTCAAGAATACCCTTAAGACATTTTCAGGTACAAGAAAACTAAGTTTGTTGCCAGAAGACCTCCACTACAAGATGTGCCTAAGGAAGTTCTTCAGACTAAAGGGAAATGATACTAGAGGGAAACATATCTTCAGGAATTACTGACAAGCATCAGACCTGGTAAATATTTAGTTACTTTTTATCCCATTACTTTCTTTAAAATATATAGGACTGCTGAAAACAAAAATTATAATATTCTGAGGGATTAATAGTAATACATACGGAAAATATAGTATGAAGGATATAGGTAGAAAATGGATTTATACTATTTAAAGATTTCTAAATCTTTATGTGTGGTAGTATAATTTACTCTAAGTAGACTGTGAAAAGCTGATGACAAATATTTTAACCCCTATAGAAGCCATATCAATAATTACATTAAATATTAATGGGCTAAACATTACAATTAAAAGAAATTCTCAGAATAGAAAATAAAGCAAGATCCAATTATCTGTTGTCTATAAGAAATAAACTTTAAATATAAGTTGAAAGTAAATTGATGGAAAAATATAGAATGTTCTCTAACCACAGTAGAATTCAATTAGATATCAATAACAGCAAGATATCTAGAAAAACTCCAAATATTTGGAAATTTTGCAACACACCTCTGAAGCATCCATATCTCAAGGAAGAAATCATAGGAGAAATTAGGTAATTTTTCAAACTGAATGATGTTGAAAATATAACATATCAAAATTAATGGAATTTCAGTTAATGTTACCATCATTTATTCAGTTTTCCAAACAAGAAACTTGGGAGTTATCATTCTAACACCACATTTAGCCACTTAAAAAATCTGTTACATCTACTACTTAATTTCTCTCCAAACAGTGTCCTCTACTATATTACCATTGCTTCTTTTGTTCAATTCCTTACCATCTTACCTTGAAAATTTATGGAGAAGATGGAAAGAGAGGTATATTTGACTAGAAAGTTTTTCAATAAAAGTTGAACAAGAAATCATTGAAGGAGCAAGGCCTTTCAGGAGTCAGTGTAAATGTAGATTAGGGGAAATGGTAGAGATGTTAGTTTTCAAGGGAAAGGGGTCTGTCTCATACATGATGGACCATGCTCTTGAGAGCCATGCTTCATTGAGATTCTCTACAATTATGGTCAAAGAATACAAAAGAGAATCAACTTGTAATAGAAAGAGAACAGAGATGTGTGTGTGTGTGTGTGTGTGTGTGTGTGTGTGTGTGTGTGTGGGTGTGGGTGTGTGAGAGAGAGAGAGAGAGAGAGAGAGGAGAGAAAGGCAGTACAGGAGGGGTTTTAAACAGATTTCTGAAAGATGGAACGTTAGTTAAAGGTTTAAATACAGTAGTGGAGTCACTGAAACAATATCATGCTATCTTTCTTTTTGATGAAACTCCAGGCTTAGAGTTGACAGGTATTGAGGGTGAGAATAACAAAAGTTGTAAAGAGACAGGTTAAGTGAAATTCTGTGTGCAGAATTTCTGAACCAGTTGCCATTTCCCCCATCTCCCAGTTACCCTATCCTACATACATAGTTAAAGGAAATAGTTCTAACCGATTCCATGCTGAAGTAAGTGCCCTTCTCTCAATAAACTTCCTGCTAGTGTGAGTTTGGCTCCCCAGAGTGAAACTCTTTTCATGTTAGCATATGGAAGGAAGGCTACCAGGCAAACTGCCTATTCTCTGCCTTCTTATGCTAATGTAAAGCTAGCTGGTTGGGAACCCTGCCATATTCACAAAACAGAGATTTCAATTCTGGACAGAGACTTATTTGTGAAATAATGGCATGTTCACAGAAAAATCAACCCATATCTTTATTCTTAAATATGAACAAATGAGAATTATCCAGGTATGATAAAAATCAGTAACTTCAGAGACACCTATCATGATAAGCAAAAGAAACACTGACACCAGAAGAGATAGTTCAAGAAACAGAAAACAACTTAAGAAAATGAACTCTAATATCCTCAGAAAATTTTCAGAACAAATGTAATAGTAGTCTGTGAAAAGAAAAAAACAAGAACAAGAAAGAAACATTAGAAATTTAAAATGACTAAAAAAAGAAAATGCAGTAAAAGGACCAGAAGAAAAAGTCAAGGAGATTTCCCACAATAAAGAGCAAAATTGCCAAGAGATAAAAAGTAGAGAAAAGCAATACAGAGAATCAGTCCAAGTAGTCTAATATCTGACTATTAGAAAATAGAGCAAATAGTACAAAGGAAAATGGAAAAGAAATAATAGAAATACATTTTTAAGACCTAAAGAAAGACATTTGGCTTTAGGGTAGGGTCTGCTGAGCACTGAACTGAATATATCGAAATAAAATTACCACATTTAGGCATATCCTTAAGACATTTCAAAACACTCTCAATAAAGAGAAGATCCTAAAACTACCCAGAGAAAACATAAGGTCACTTAAAAAAGACTGAGAACTTTTCATTAACAACATGGAACGGCAAAGGATAGAAGAGCAATGTCTTCAAAGTTTAGGGAAAAATGATTTGAACCTATAATTCTACTCAGCCAAATTATTATATTAATCAAGGACATGGGAAAAATAATATACTCCCAGACATCCATGTACCATTTGTAAGGAAGTTTCTTGAAGATATATTCTAGGAAAGTAAAGATGAAATCCAAGCAGAAATAAGCAGATACGGGATACTGGGATACTAGAATCTGGCAACAAAACTAGGAATGGAATTGTTAGGAATGTGAGGTAGAAAGATAGACCTGAGTAGCCAGAGAAGGGAAAGATAAGGTTCAAGGGACAAAAGTACCCAAATTGCCCAGGTAGGAAGTCCACCTGAAGACAACAAAGGCTTTGCAGGGAGATAACTTCTTGCCTATCAGAACCAGGACAGACTGGTTCTAACCAGGTCCCAACACAGGAACAATCAAACAAAACTAAGAACCACTGATATCACATCTCATTTTAATCTCATTAAAGTGAAATTGTGGTTTTGCTCCCAACCATGTGTGCATTTTGGGAAAAGACCTGCTCATCAAGAGGAATGGGTGTATAACTAGAGTTGTCAATCAAATAACCTTACCCTGTCAATCAGAGAAATGCCTCCCAGCTAGGCTATGATAAAGAGACCCTCCCTTAAAAGGTTGGAGCCTTTGTCTACCTTGACTCTGGCTCCCTCTTCCCTTGGAGTGTATTCACTGTTTCACTATTGTGTCTCTAACCTTTAAATTCTTTGTTGTAGTAGGGACAAGAACCAAGGAGAACAAACTCAGTCCATAACAGAATGAACCAGTGACGGCTGCAGAGCATGCTTAAAAGCAATGGGTCAAATATACAACAAGAAGTTACTGGGCTCCATGAATAATTTCTCCAAGAAGAATGGAATGGATTCTACTCAATAGAGGGAATGAGTAAGGAAGTTTGACCATATTCACATATAATGGGAAAGTTACATGCTTCTTTTTGGCAGGCTGCATATCTCAAAGATAAAAAGAATGACTGTAAGACTGCTCTGGTCTTCCTGATTCTGTCACTTATAACTTGATCCTAGCCAAGTTGCTTATCTTCTTTGTGGCTATTTTTTCTCACTACAAAATAGGAATAATAATATTACTTAAATGAGTTGTTGAGGGTATAGATTTTATATTGAATATATCCTAAACATATTCAAATATTTGAATAGCATTTGGCACACATAAGTGCTATATAGATGTTTGCTATTATTATCATTGTCCACAAAAGGCAACTAGAAACTCCAGAATAAAACACAAAAATACACAAGAGATTAGGAGTTAGTCATTAAAGTTGATAGAAAAGCAAAAAATATTTGGATATATTATTTCAAGGTACAAAATATAACAATTAAGGAAGCAAAAAATAACTCTTAAAGATCTGTTGGGGGCATTGAATTTGTTCTCAATTCTTGTCCCTGCGGCAACAAAGAACTGAAGGGCAGTGACACAGTAGTAAAGCAGAATGAAAGTTTTATTTGAATACACTCCAAAAGAGTAGCCGGCTAGAGTCAAGGTAGAAAAAAGCAGGTTTACTTGAATAAAGCAGAGAGGAAGGAAAAACAGAGGGAGGAAAAGGAAGCTTATTGAACTGTTCCTCAGCATAAGGCATAATCCCTTGACACCTCCTAAACCCAGTGTCACCTGTCATCCAGTGTCTGCTTGAATCTGCATGGTATGAAAACTAAGTCCCTACCACCCCAGGATTTGGGGAAGCCACAGAGCACTGAATGGAGTGAGATTTTGTTCTGAGGACTTCCTTAAGGCAAAGAAAAGATTTTCAGACAGGCTACTAAGGAGCATAATCATATACCCACAGTTCTGTCCAGGTCACCCAGGCAACAGGAATTTACAAGCCCAAATCAGAGCTCTCAGAAAGCCCCTCCCTCCTTATCTGAGTAGGACAGAGAATGAAGACTTGTGCTTAAAGTCTGGAAAATTGAATGGAAAAACAAAGTGATAGACACCACTTGAAGAGCACAGAGACAAAATATAGTAAGTTGAGCAGTAAGGGGTCTTAAAAATACACACTCCAAGAAAGGGGAGTGCAAGCAACCTAATGCGTACCCAAAAGCTGGGATTCTGTCTTGTAAGGAGTTTCAAGAATGGGATAAAGGTAAAGGCTGGGGTGGGGAGAAGGCTTGTCAGGGGGTCTCATGATGTGTATCTCCAAGTGAGAGACAATATGTCATTGTCTATAGTCAGTCCTCTAGGTAATTCTGTAGGACAAACTTTTGTTCCTCTTGAAGATAGTGGCCACCCCCAAGTACTGGGAACATATCAGCTAAGACTGCTTGCCTTGCCTTAAGATAAGTCATTGGCTGATTACCAAAGAATATGTTAGGAATCTAACCCCCCAGTTCTCTACTTTTAGCCTCAAGATAAATCCTTCTTGTTCCCACTGTGCTATTCACATCTCAGCATCTTTAAGAAAATTAATCATAATACTTGTCCTGTGTCTCTGCCCTATTTCACCTGCATTAGCTAGGGCAAGTCTCAAGGTCAGCCCAGATTCAGAGCATGTGGAAATTGCAAAGGGTGTTGACTGTGAGTCTTTTCTGACTCTCTGGCTTTATCTGATTAACTCCCTGAGTTCTTGGTGGCCCTTACCCTCATTCATCCCACTCATATCTGTCTTTCTGCCTAAGAGATCCAGAAGTGAAAAGAGGGAGGAAGTGAGATGTTGAGCAGTTAAATATGCTAAATCAAGGATTTTTAAATTAATTATTCAGGAGATAATGCTTAAAGTTGATTAATAAATTTTAAAAAGAAGCTGTTTATAATTATGGAGTTAATCACAAGAGGAATTAAAACCCCAAAATGCTAAATATGGTTACCTCTGAAAAGAAGAAATTAGAATAGGAAGTATGGGATGGAAAGGCTTTGTGTTCTTCTTAGTCTTTCTGTATTATTTAATTTTTTAAAATCCATATGCATATTATATTTTTAAAAAATTAAAATGTCTCATGTTTTATATAAGATGCTAGCACCTTTATTATTATTATGATTAAACTTATTGTGAATAATTTCTTGGGAGATTTTTATTAAACATGAGCCTATATAAACCATGTAGATGGGGATAAAACTAATAACCCAAATAGTAGATCATGCCAATAATCTTTGAAAATTATAAAAGGTGGGAATATGTAACAAAAATTATATTATGGCCCAAAGTATGTATTTCTTCATGTTTCATTCTTTGTATTATCAATAATTAGGGTTAATAATAATTAATACCTAAGAGACTCTCTTAAGTTATTTTTCTTTGTTGATCATCTGGATTAATTTCTCTCTCTAGTTTCCTAGACAAAACCTATTGAATGATATCTAAGGTGTGCTCAGTGGTCAAGGCTGGTCAAATACTTTTCATTATGCCCATGAACTTCTGCTCAAATAGTTATCAAGAGTCAATAGCATTGCTCCCAAACATGTTTATTGTAGTTGTTATTTGTAATTGTATGATTTAAATAACTATAGCATGCTCAAAAAGTTGTCTTGGTTACATATCAAAAGATTAGCCAATTTATGTATATTTTCATATTTCAAATAAAACTTTTTGGTTATGCATTTACAGTTCTTCTAAAGATGTCTTTTCTTAATTGACTTTATGATAACTTCTAGTTCTTATCATATTCAATAAGTGATTTCTCCTGTATGGACTGTCTAACAAATAATATATTATTTTCTCTATTATTCCCAGATATAAAGTTTTACATAACATCAAAGATGAAATAACTTAAAAATTTTACACTTTTGAATCCTAAAATCCATTTGAATTTGGGATTTGTAGAAGCATATATAAAATTATTAGAGCTAATCTGAATTTCTATTAAATAATTTCTATTTAATTTCTATCAAATCAAACCTACCTCAGCTGTATCCTTAAGGTAATAAAAAGATCTAACAGATCTTGGTCTCAGATTTTTTCCCACTGGCTCTAAAGAAATAAATCCAAACATAAATGATATTTCCATATTATTAGACTACTTCTAACTTAACAAACCATTTTCTTTATTTTTAGTAGTATTTTTTAGAAATGTAGTATGAGAATCTTATTTGCTTACATAAGCATTGCATTTAGATTTTCAGAGCTAAATATATTCTAGAATAATTTGCTTTAAAAGTGAATTTCTACTAACAGAATATAATTTTTGATTATTTACCCTTGACTTCTCATCAGAAACTATGAAGCTCAGAACTATGGCTTCAGAATTATATAATAAAGGTATTATCTTCTCGGAAAATACAGAATTTCTAAATAAAATAGAATCTTACTGGATAGTCAAAGGAGTCTTTTTATTAATTCTTTTGAAAAGAAAAATATTCCCCTAAACTTGAATCCTCTTCCCACCCCCAATTATGAGTTTCATTACTCTGGATTATTAATTAATGGATTTTTCTTAAGGTAGGTAGGTTGTTGACTCAAGTGTACTGAGTTGGGATTTAGGTAGCCTGGGACAAAAGCCTACCTTTTTGTATGTGAGTTATATGGCCTTAGGGAAGTTATTTAACTACTCTGAGCCATAGTTCCCTCATCTGTTAAGTGGAAATAACAGTACTTATCTTATAGAGATGCTGTGAAGATTAAATGAGATGATAGATGTAACAAACTTAAAAGAGCATCTGGTATTCATTCAATCAACAGTTATTTGTTGATCACCTATGATATACAAGGCACTCTATTGGACTCTGCAATTGTGATTCCTGCCCAATGATGCATACATTCAAATGGGTAATACAGAAAGTAAACAACTAAAAAAATAAAGAGGTGAGTAATTATAAACTGAGATACATGTTACAATAGAAATAAACAGATTTTGTGAGGGAGAACAATATATGGAGGTATAATTTAGATAGGGTAGTTGGTATGGACTGAAGATTTGTATCCCTCCTAAAATTCAAATGTTGAAGCTCTAATTCTCAATGAGATGGTATTTGGAGTTGGGGTCTTTTGAGAAGTAATTTGGTTTAGATGAAGTAATGAGGGTAGAACTCCCGTGACAGGATTAATGCCCTTATAAGAAAAGACATGAGAGAGGTGAGCCCCCTCTCCACCATGTGAGGATGTAGCAAAAACACTGATGATGTCTGCAAACCAGGACGAGGGGCTCACCAGAACCTGTCTATATTGGCACTATGGTCTCAGACTTCCAGCTACTAGAACTGTGAGAAATAAATATTTATTGTTTAAGCCACCCAATCTACAGTAGTTTGTTATAGCAGCTTGAACTAAGCAACAAATTGCTACCAAGAAGTGGGGTGCTGCTGTAACAAATACCTAAAAATATGAAGTATTTTGGGACATTGTAATGGGAAGAGGCTTGAAGAGTTTTGAGGTGCATACTAGAAAAAGCCAGTATTGCCATGAAGATATTTTTACAGTGATTTTGGTGAGAATTCAAAAAAAGGAGAGCTGTATAAAACGCTTCCATCCTTTTAGAGAATACATAAATAATCCTTACAGAAATGTTGGTAGAAACGTGGCTGGCAAAGGCCATTCTAATGGGGTCTCACACAGAAATGAGGAACATTTTATCAAACAATGGAGAAAAGGCTATTCTTGTTATAAAGTGGCAAAGAACTTGGCTGAATTTTGTTTGTGTTCTAATGTTTTGTGGAAGGTGGAACTTCCAAGCAATGAAGTTGGATATTTAACTGAGATTTCTAAGCAAAGTATTAAAGGAGCAGGTTGGTTCCCCCTAACTGCTTGCAGCAAAATGCAAGAAGAGGGAGATGAACTGAAGATAGAATTATTAAGCAAAAAAGGAATCAGAACTTAAGAGTTGGGAATTCTCAGCCTGTCCCCACTATAAAAAATGAGAAAGCATGTTCAAAAGAGAACACTTAAGGTTGTGTGACCATTTGATAAGGAGATTGGTATGGGTGTGAACCATGGATTTAAACAGCCACCCCAGCAGAGACACAGCCAGTTTGAACCGAAGGGGATGGAGATGGAACAAAATGAAGCCAAGTGTGTTGGACTTCTTAGGCTTTAGAGGATGGAACCATGAACATTAACTGCAAACATGTGCTACTTCAAGACAAGGGAAGAATGACCCTCAAGACGATTCAGAGATCATCAGAGCTGCCTCCCCAGTTTCAAAGGGGGAGGCCATTGCCTCAATTTCAATAGGCCAGACAGCCTTGGGAGTGGGGCATCCCCAAGTCTTGGGAGCACAACACCCACCTGGATGAGCTTTGGGAGCAGTACCTCTACCCCAGTAGGTCTGGAAGGTAGACCATCAAGCAAGGACTATTCTTGAGTCTTAAGATCTCATAAAGTTTGCCTTGATGGTTTTAAACTTACTTGGGACGCATTGCCTCTTCCTTCTTTCTTATTTTTCCTTTTTGTAATAGGAATATTAAACCTATGCCTTTGCATTTTAGAAGCATATAACTTGTTTGGTTTATAGCTGGAAAGGAATTTAGCCTCAGGATGAATCATACTTGTAAATTAACTAAGGAGAAGAGTGAAATTTTATAAACTCAATCCTGAAGAAGAAGCACAGAATCAACAGAGCAAATTGAAAGAACAAAATAAGATGGCAGATTTAAATCCGAAGATATCAGTAATTACATTATGTGTAAGTGGACTAAGTGCTCCATTTCAAAGATAAATTTAAAATCTACTTTGATAATCTTTAACAATATGTTTAGAAAAGATAAGTCTAGGTTATAATGTCACAGCAAGGTAATAAAATGATGGAAAAAGTCATGTCATGTGAATAATAGTCAAAAGAAAGCTGGGGCAACTATAGTAATATTGGATAATAAGAATTATTTCATAATGAAAAAGGGTTCAATTCACTAGAAATATGTAATAATTCTAAATTTTTATGTAATTAATAATGTGGCCTAAACTATATTAAAACTCTGTGAAGCAAAATTTGACAATACCACCAGGACAAACAAAAGTCTGAAATTCCTTAGTAATCAACAGAACAAGCAAGCAGAAAAACCAGTAAGAATATAGAAGAGTTGAAAAACACAATGAACAAATTTTACTTAAAAAATATATGTAAAACACTTCACCCAACAACTGCAGAACTTATATTATTTTTAAGCACATATAGAATATTCACAACAACTGACTGTACAGTGGGTGATAATGCCAAGTGTTAACTAATTCCAGATAGACTTTAGACCTAAATGAAAAAAGGAGAGCTGAAGTCTTTTATAAAACAAAAATAGAAGGTTTTCATGACCACAGAAAAGGGAAAGACTTCTTAATTATGGTACAAAAAATACTGATCAACTGGGGAAAGATTTGATACTTGACTTCATTATAGTGAAAAGAATTTGTGTTCACCAAAAAGACATCATAAAGAGAGTGAAAAGAAAATCCAGAGAAAAGAGATATTCACAACATATAAAACCAACAAGAACTAGTAACCAGAATATTTAAAGAAATTAATGGCAAAAGGACAAAAATGTAATTTTTAAAATGAGCTAAAACTTGGATGATTTCCAGAAGTATAAACTCAATTAATTATCTTATGAAAAAGTTCTCAAACTTACTAGTAATTACAGAAATGCAAATTACTTTAAATGTAAATTGACTAAATGCTCCATTTCAAAGACAAAGATTTACCTATGATAATGATATATACAATTATACACCAGTACATTGCTAAAATAAAAAATGGAAATTCCAAGTGTCAGCAAGAAAGCAGAACAAAAAGGATTGTCACAAATCTGATGGGAACATAAATTGCTACAAACACTTTGGAAATTTTGCCATTAGCTATTATAGTTGAAAATAAGCACCTTGGGTATATACTTTTACACTATGCAGCATAAACAAGAATTTTCATTTCAACATTAGAATGGCTGATAAACTGAAAACCCCAAATTTCAACAGTAGGATGGATAGATTGTGATATATATTCATGCAGTGGAATATTTTAAAGCAATGAAAATGAAAGACCTCTATATAACAATATGAGTAAGTCTTCCAACAGTGCTAAGAAAGAAATACAAATGAATACATGTGGCATGATTACATTGATGTAAAATAAAAAAATAAGAAAACTATATTCTTTAGAGATGAATAAAATAGATGGTAAAATTTTAAAGAAAAGTAAGAAAATGATTACCATAGAGGTCAGGAGAGTAGTAACCTCTAGGAACAAAAAAAGGAGAAGGTGTTTGGGAAAAGGTCAAGGGACAGGTTTATAGAATGCTGTCAATGTTCTATTAGTTGACCAGAATATAGTTCTGTATGTATTTATTTTTTTAATTGGTTATTATAATGTACAATTTAATGCTATATTCATTTTGTTACATATATTATTTCATAATTTAAAGTGGTTGCACAAGAAAGAAAGAAATTGATTAGAAAGAAGACAAGAATGAAAGAAGAAATGCCTGTTGGTAAGCCACTATAGTTGTACACTCAAAAGATCATGATGATTCTTTAGATTAGCATGGAAACAGCAGAAATGGTGAAAACTGAGTAATTCAGGACAAACTAGAATGGATAGAACTTGTTGGTGAACTAAACTTTGGGGATGAGAGAAAGGGGAAATCAAGGATGTCTTCTAGGTTTCAGGTTTGCCACTTGGCTCAAAGTGGTCAAATGTACTAAGAATGGGATGCTGGGGGTGAGGGAGTGCAAAAGAAAATTTGAAAGGATGGTTGGGAGTCATGAATCCAGTTCTGCATGTTAGATTTAAGATGTCTGTGAGAGTTTAAGTGTAGATATCAAATAGGTAGTTTAGTATAGGCATAAAGATACAAATAAAGGATTTAATAGCACCTCCGTGGCATTTTGAACCATAAGAGTGGATAAGATCACCCAAGGAGAGAGTGTAGAAACAGAAGCAGACTCAGGATTGAGGTCTGAGCAAATATGGTATTTTAAGGATAGAGAAGTTAAATTAAGAAGAGTCTAAGGAGTGAGATTGCAGGAAAACAGGAGATACAGTTTCTAAAATCACAAAGAGGAGAGTATTAAGAAGGAGGGAGTGATCAATTAACTATACTAGTATTGAGAGGTGGAAGAAAGTGGAAACAGGGAAATATCCTTTGGATTTAGCAACATGGAGATCATTGGCACTCTTGATCAGTGTAGCCTGGGCATAACAATGGAGGGAGAAAACAGATTGGAGTACTTTGAAAACTGAACAAAAGTTGAGTAAATAGAGACAGTGTACGTAAATCTTCTGAGAAGTTAGATTATGAATGGTAACAGAAATGAGGCAATATAAGAAGCTTCAGTCAAGGAGGTTGAATGAGAATGATGCAACTGAATGGTTTTTGATAGTGCCAGAAAGAAAAACAAAGGCAACACAAAACACTCAAATTCTCTGAGGATCTATAATGCTGGTTCCTAGCTCAAAGATTCCTTAGATTTCTAAGAAAGATTCCTTAGATTTCTAGATTTATAGCTTCTATAAAGTTTCTATTAAGCAAGATGCCCATATTTGGTTGATTTTTTTTTTTTTTTTTACAATTACAAGGAAACTCTTAAGGTTGAGCTGAAAGGAAGCTAAGAGATTTTCTTTCTGGAAAAATAAACATAAAAATATATTTTTAATTTGTGAATCATATGAATTGTCCATTCTGATATTTAATGTCTTTTCCTCTTAGGAAATCCTTTACAGCTCACTGAAATCTTTTCACACTATAGTTATAAGACATGCTTTTAGCAGAGACATTAAGTTATCAAGAATTTTTTAATACAAATATTAATAAATAATAAAGTATATAATAAAAGCAACCAGTAATAAACCAAAGAAGAAGTAAGTATGTTACACAGAGCATTACCTATTGATTTGCTTTCTGGATTCTTCGTATTTGTTGGTATAAACTGTGGACTTCCATTTGACTTTTGAAAATTACTCTTTCTAGGTTCAGACTTTTTTTTATAGGAGACATACCTAGAAGAAATAAAATTAATCTAAATTAAAATAGTCAGCAAATTTACAAAAATAAAAAATAAGAGTGGATGGAAAAAAAGTAGCAGTGTAGAAAGGCAAGGCAAAAACCTCCTCTCAAAATCACACAGAACATGAAAATACAACGAAGTCCGAAATCACCCTGAAGACTGCAGAACTGACTACCTACATCTGGGGAAGAAGAGAAGGCCCTACAGAAAAGTGTAAAGTGACAAAGATGTGATCTCATGGGATCCCAGCCCTCTCCCTCTAATCCCAACCCATAGGTGAGAGGAAGAGGAATGGAGCAGGGAGGGACTAGAAGCCCAGGACCCTAAACACCTGGTGCTGGAGATCTGCTCCAGGAACATGAACCCATATTGCACAGTGCCCTGGTGATTGGTGGGGCTGGATAACAGAGACAGGCAGAACAGTCAGGGAGGCTGAGATCCCAGCGGGCTGTGGAGAACAGGCACGCTCTACTGGCCCCTCTGAGAAAGAAAGCAGAGTAGGCAGTTTAAAAGACTTCCCAGCAGTGAGAGGGGCACCAGAGAAGAAAGCATTGCACAGTGCTCTGTTTAGGAGAAAGCTCAGGTGGACACAACCTCCCCAGCCTGCCCTCAGACCAACCAGTTGGGAGCCTTCAGGAGCTTCAGACACTCCATTCCCCTCACTGGCAACACAGACCAGAGATTCCTCACAGTGCTGTGTGGCTGCTGGCTAGTAGTGAAGGCAAACTTTACCCCCAGATAGGGAAGGGAAGAACCTCTAGCCTGCTCAGCCCTATTTTTGGCCAGCAGGGGAGCTGAATGCAAGAGCCAGCCCTAGGAGCTCTTTCCTCCCAGCAGGTGTGGGCCCTGCTCACCAGCAGCCCCCACCATTGTACCAGGCTGGACAAAGGGCAGCTCCACCCACCACAGTTCCAGCCCTACAGCTTGGCATGCATGCTCAGCCTAGCCCCAGGGGTTCTTTCCTCCTGGCAGGTGCCAGTCCAAGTTGTCTGTGGCCCCCACAATTGTAGCAGGCCAGAGGAAGGGCAGCTCTTCCCATGAGAGCTCCAGAGAGTATTCTCCCCACTCCTGTGATCAGCTGATGGCCGACAGAGCCCATCTATCATCAGAACACTACGAGCAAGGCAGACAGGTGCCATACCCATTGCATGCCATCAGCTGGGGCTCCTGCAGAGGAAATTGAACTTCTGGGCACTAAAAGGCACCTACTACATAAATCTATTAATACATAAGAAACACTAAAAAAGAAAAAAAAATGAGACAGAGGAATTTAGTCCAAACAAAATGTCAAGAAAAAACAACAGTAAGAGGGCTTAGTGAAACTGAAATCACCAATATTCCTGATAAAGATTTAAAAATAAAAGTCATAAACATGCTCATAGATCCACAGAAAAACATTCAAGATCTCAGTGAGGACTTCAATAAAGAGATAGAAATCCTCAAAAAAAGCCACTCAGAGCTGAAGAATACAGTATCTAAAATGAAACATACAATGGAGGGATTTAAAAGTAGATGATGTAGAGGAGATGGTAAGTGAAATTCAAATTAGAGAACAGAAAAAAAAGAAGCTGAGAAACAGAGAGATAAAATGATCTCTAGGAAAGAAAGAATAATAAGACAACTGTGTGACCAATCCAAATGGAGCAGCATTTGCATTATAGGGGCACCAGAAGAAGAGAGAGACAAAAGGATAGACAGTCTCTGAGGCAATAATTATTGAAAAATTCCCCAGTCTGGAGAAGGAAATAGACATTCAGGTCATGAAAACACAAAGATCACCCAACAAAAGGAACCCTAGGAAGACAACACCAAGACATATAATAATTAATATGGCAAAGTCAAGAATAAGGAGAGAGTATTGAAAGCAGCCAGCCAGAGAGAAAAAATCACTTATAAGGGAAATCCCATCAGGCTAGTAGCAGACTTCTCAGCAGAAACATAAGCCAGAAGGGAGTGGCATGATATATTTAAAGTAATGAAACAGAAGGGTCTCTAACCAAGAAGACCCTACCCAGAAAGATTATCATATAAATTTGAGCCAGGGATTAAACAATTTCCAGATAAGCAAAAGTTGAGGGAATTCATCACCACCAAACCATTTCTACAAGCTCTCTTAAAGGGACTGCTCTAGATGGAAATGTTCCTAAGGCTATATAGCTGTCACCAGAGAAAATGAACCCACAGTAAATGTAGTAGACCAATTAATTATTAAACAAATACAAAATTAAATCAACTGCTCACAAAATTAGTTGAGGGATATAAAAAGAGCACAGAATATGACTTCTAATATACAAAGAGTGGAGGAGGAAGAAGAAGAATGGGAGAGAAAAAAAGGAACCTTTAGATTGTGTTTGAAATAGACTAATAAGCAATTTAAGATAGACTGTTAGATAGTAAGGAAGCTATCCTTGAACCTTTAGTAACCACAGATCTAAAGCCTATAATCGCAATAAGTACACATCTTTCAAGAATCACCTTAAATGTAAATGGACCGAATGCACTACTCAGAAGACATAGAGTGGCAGAATGGCCATGTCAAACCCAAAGACATACACAGAGTAAAAGTGAAGAGATGGAAAAAGATATGTCATGCAAATAATGGGAGGAAAAAGGAGGAGTAGCAGTACTTATATCAGACAAAATAGATTTCAAAACAATGAAAGTAACAAGAGACAAAGGACATAATGATAAAGAGGTCAGTCCAACAAAAGGTATTACCATTATAAATATCTATGCACCCAATAGAGGAGCACCTAAATATGTGAAACAATACTAACAGAACTAAAGGGGGAAATAGAATGCAATGCATTCATTTTAGGAGACTTCAACACACCACTCACACCAAAAGACAGATCAGCCAGACAGATAATAAGTAAGAAGACAAAGGCATGAACAATACATTTGACCAGATGGACCTAACAGACATCTACAGAACACTCTACACAAAAACAGCAGGATACACATTGTTCTCAAATGCACATGGAATATTTTCCAAAATAGATCACATACTAGGCCATAAAAAGAGACTCAATAAATTAATAAAGATTGAAATTGTACCAACCAGCTTCTTAGACCACAAAGGTATGAAACTAGAAATAAATTAAGAAAACAAAGAAGCCCACAAACACATGGAGGCATAACAACATGGTTCTAAATAACCAATGGATCAATGATCAAATTAATACAGAGATAAAAAAAAAATGGAGACAAAAAGACAAAAACAAAAAACAGCCCAAAACCTGTGAGATACAGAGAAGGCAGTTATTGAGGACAGTATATAGCAAATACAGGCTTACCTCAAGGAACAAGAACAATCATGAATGAACAGTATAAACTCACAATTAATTAAATTTAAAAAAGAACAACAAATGAGGCCCAAAGTCAGTAGAAGGAGGAACATAATAAAGATCAGAGCAGAAATAAAGAAAATTGAGAATAAAATAGAATCAATGAAGCCATGAGCTTATTCTCTGAGAAAATAAACAAAATAGATAAACCCAAGCCAGATAATACCAAGAAAAAAAGAGAATCTACACACATGAATAGAATCAGAAATGAAAAAGGAAAAATCACAATGTACACCATGAAAATACAAAGAATTATTAGAGAATACTATGAAAAATTATGTCAGCAAATTGGACAACATAGAAGAAATTGACAACTTTCTAGAAAAATACAACCTTCCAAGACTGACCCAGGAAGAAAGAGAAAATCTGAACAGACCAATCACCAGCAATGAAATTGAACTGGTAATCAAAAAATTACCTAAGAATAAAATTCCTGTACCTGATGGCTTCACTGCTGAATTTCATCAAACATTTAAAGAAGAGCTAATACTCATCCTCCTTAAAGTATTCCAAAAAGTAGAAGAGGGAATACTTCTAAACTCATTCTATGAGGCCAGCATCACTCTAATACCAAAACCAGACAAAGACACCACACACAAAAAAATTACAGACCAATATCCCTGATGAACATAGATGCAAAAATACTAAACAGAATATTAGCAAACCAAATTAAAAAATACATCAAAAAGATCATCCATCATGACCAAGTGGGATTTATTCCAGGGATGCAAGGATGGTAAAATATTTGTAAATCCATCAATATCATACACCACATTAACAAAAGGACAAAAATCACACGATCATCTCAATATATGGTAAAAAACAGCATTCAACATCCATTCATGATAAAAATGGTTAGCAAAATGGGTATCGAGGGAACATACCTCACCATAACAAAGGCCATATATGATGACCCCACAGCCAACATCATAGTTAACAGTGAAAAGCTTAAAGCATTTCCTCTAAGATTAGGAACAAGACTAGGATGTCCACACTCACCACTTTTATTCGTCATAGTTTTGGAGGTCCTAGCCATAGCAATCAGGCAATACAAAGAAATAATAGGTAATCAAATTGGTAAGGAAGAAGTTAAACTGTCACTATTTGCAGAGGACATGATATTATACATAGAAAAACCCTAAAGATTCTACCAAAAAACTATTAGAACTAATAACTGAATTCAGCAAGTTCCTGGATACAAAATGAATACACAGAAATCTGTTGCATTCCTATATACTAAGAATGTATTAGCAGAAAGAGAAATCAGGAAATCAACTCCATTTACAATTGCACCAAAAAGAATAAAATACCTAAGAATAAACCTAAGCAAGGAGGTGAAAGACCTATACTCTGAAAACTACAAGACATTCATGAAAGAAATTAAAGAAGACACTGAGACACTGATAGACGGAAATACATCCCAGGCTCATGGATAGAAAGAATTAGTATTGTAAAATGGCCATTCTGCCTGAAGCAATCTATAGATTCAATGCAATCCCTATCAAAATACCAATAGCATTGTTCAATGAACTAGAACAAATAGTTCCACAATTTGTGTGGAACCAAAAAAGACCCCGAATAGCCAAAGCAATCCTGAGAAAGAAAAGCAAAGCTGGGGGGATTACGTTTCCCGACTTCAAGCTCT